TGGACAATTCCTGTTTTTATGGGAAGCACTTCAGACCGGTTAGTGCCAATTTCAACATATTGCAACAACAACAAAGTGACGTAACAATGCCCCCATTTCGCATCCACTCAGACACTTTTCTCACTCAGACAGATTTTCAAGTGTGGTTGTAAACATTACCTCGTTTTTGCGTTTTTGAACTCTATTCTTTAGTTTTCAGTTGTGTTTCGGAAACTTTAAATATAAATCAGATATTTCAATGGTCACTCTGTCTTTCTAGGAGTTTTAATTTAATTGCAGTAATAAAAATTAGTGTAGAAATAGCTGTGATAGACTAGCCTGAAATTCTTTACCGGTACTTTTGAAAACAGATCGTTGTATGCGATGAATCATAATCATAATGATGGTTTGAAACACATACCCCATTTTACGGGCGCCAACACACAAAAGCATTCCTAAAATGGCCACGAGAATATTGCAATGGTAAAGTATAGGAAGAATATTCCGGGGTCAAAGGTCGGGGAAAGGTGCATATCTCTCAATCAACCAATCAATTTTATTTTAATCACTCTGATAGGAACAACAACAAACGGACAAACAAAACACAGACGACCTGGAGGACGGGCATAACTTAATAAAAGAGTTATAAACGTACAAGTACGTGCCCTTCCACCAAAAACAGTCAAAAGAACACAATAAAACAAAGAAAAGATGTAAAATCGGGCAATTACAGTACCTTAGGATAGAATTTACATATTTATCCTGGGGAGAGGAAACCGATAAGACGACTTAATCATATGGCGAACCACGGCCTCTCGTCCAGTTACCAGTCCAGGTTGGTATGGGATTAGTTAGTTATTTGTTTTCGGAAGCATGGGCTTGATGGTGGAGGAAGCCATAACCGACCAGCGGTGTCGGAGTCCAGCAATCCTCTCGCACATGATCCTGCAATGATTATCCCTGCATGCGATGCGAACCTACGAAGAGTAATCAGAGATGAGGTGGCGAGCGTATTCCTAACGCTCGGCACGATGCGCCACACCGCCAAGCCTCTCAAATGAATTTTAAAATGTGAGACGTGTATTTGTATCATAACGGTGCTTTTCCTGCAAAAATATGTAATAAAAAACACTCGTTGACGTATTATGGTAATGCTGTGGTTCAATTTCATTGCAAAAAAACAGTGACAAAAAATTGTTACTGAAAAAACAAACTCTGTAAATAGATTGAATGTTTCATAACAGTCCATGCACAAACGTATATTGGGGTATCGGGTTCATCTGTTTACTTTCTTTCAAAGACTGGCTACTACAGAACTAGTATAAGTTTATTTCGACTCAATAATCAGCATAGGCCTATTACAGGTATAAGACGATGAAATAATTGAATATGGTACTGTGTCGTATGCGGGTGCTCTGTAACGTCTGAGAAACAACCTGACCGATCTTTCCATGAGTTCCCAAGCTTCGGAATAACGCACAATTAAAAGGAAATTCAATTCATAAACGTTTTTGACTGAAGACCTGTTAGATTATGCAGGCGAAAGTGTTAAGTTGGTCATTTCATTTTGTATCATAAAGTTATGAGCTCTTTATTGAAATATTTCACTTTTACAATAATTAAAATAACATATCAAGCAAAAGTTAGACATTTAAATATAGGAATCAGTGAGAATTTCAAAAATGAGTTTTCATCATCATTTACCGGTACTATTCACTTTATACCAGGGTGGTCCAAACCTAGACTCGCGGGCCACATGTGGCCCGCAGCTTCATAATCTATGGCCCGCGTCACATTCGGAAAGTAGTTAAAGAATCGCATTTGGGCTTGTTTTCATATAAAATTACCCAGAAAATTTTTTGGACATATTGTTACATCATTAATGTCTCTGAATTGATTAGTGTTATGATCGGCTGAGGCAACTAGCAAAGTTGAATGATGTGCTTGGCAGTCTAAATTTTTTTTTAATCTTTTTGGTCAGGAATATATGCTAACAATTTTGGCATTATAGAAAACTAAAAATCGATTGCGGATTTTATTAGCCTAGGTTGGCTATGCCTAATAACTAAATATCAACGTTATGGCCCAACAATATAGCTCATGCCGTGTGTTTTTTGCAACCACCCTAAACAGTATTAGAAAAAATGCTGCCTATTTGTCAAAAAATTCAGTATTTACCCTCCTGTTAGCTTACATTCGGTAATCAATGAATCTGCAGTTATTTATAAGTTATTTCGTAAACATGAGTTTGAAAAGAAAACTGAAGAAGGCCTTTGCAGGTTTTAGTAAGTTTTTACATGTTTTAGCTTGATAAATGCCAAATAGTGATGAACGTGTTTGCATAATAAAATGTTTGATTTGTATTGCACTGTTTACCTATATTCTTGGCATTATTGTGGCCCGCGACAATGCAAAAATAATTTTGTGGCTCCCGGAGCCGGCAACCTTGGACCACCCTGCTCTATACAGTACAAACAATGAGACTGATTTGAAAAGCAGATTTGTATGAAAATAACCACTTATAATGGGTGTTTTATCCACAATGTCATATTCAAAAATCCCAATCAAAAGACAAAAATTAGAAACAATAACGACTCGACTAGTCTGTATCTCGACTAGATTGCTTTCAATAATGAGCTGTAGCATCAGGTTTGAGACATTGCACATAAACTGCAAATTTAGCTTCATAAAATTATCCATCTAAAGAAATTGTTCTCAAAGTTACTATGCCTACGGACCCCTTATACCTCTCTGGGGCAATTGCGGACCCCAATAATTTCAAACCTAAAACACATTACAGAACATAGCATATAGCTATTTGGAAAACATTCGCATCAGCTGCCACTCCTCAAATTGCAACACAAATTGTGTTACTGATTTATTGAAACTAAATGATGCCTATTAACCTTAGTGTGATCGCTGAAATGCGGTCATGAAACAAAGACATGATGCAAATATTTTATTTTAATGACGTCATCACAAAGAAAAGATAAATACGAATTTCATAGAGACCACATAAATTTTTGAACAATCTTTAGCCGTAGAAAATTTTTTAGCAATTGATCCTGTAGTTAAAGGCTATTTTTTCCCTATAAGAATAAGAAAAAGACTAAGATATCCATAAGGCCCTTTCGTGTCCAATAAGTAAAGTGAAATTCAAAGAACTAAATGACACAACAGCGCCAAGAACAACGTTAGTCTATAACGCCAAAACTAACAGCTGTTCAGACACACCCACCCTACCCAATTATCCCTCGCAGACCCCAGTTTGAGATCTGAGAGAAATATAAACATAATATGACATTGGTTAATATCGGAAACCCTTCGATTCAATATAGTTTAATAATGAAGTAATTCAATAAAATAAAAACAAGAATTACTTTGTTCAGCAAAAGAATCAAAACGAAAGCTAATAGGCTACTCCATGAGCTTTGCCTGTGAGTACTTTAAGTCTCACACCAATCAGTATTCACTGGCATGTAATTTTACACTATAATGTCTCATGGTCTCAGTAGGTTTGGGGCTTCAGTGGACCCTCATATTTCCACTCATATATCAGCCTCCTCAATTTCTGAGCTTAATTTTTGATTTTTTTTAGTTGTTTTTAATTTTTTTCCCTATAATATAAAATTTAGGGTATACATGAATTTTTTTTCAATTTTTATTACTGTTTTTTTATTTTTTTTTGCTATTTTTTATTTTTTTTAAACATGAAAATTTTTTTTTTCTATTTTATGACTCTTTTTAATTTTTTTTTACGTTTTAAAACATAGGAAAACACACAAGGTTATATAGAAAACCTATATACATTAGGGAGGATTGAGGATTGGATAAGTTGAAATATTTAACCAATTTTTATTTTCATTCCAATACAGCAAGATTAGGTACAGTGCTGTCAATCATGATAAACAAGAAATGTACGGTACATGAAAATTTAAAAAGCAGATGTATACAAAAAAAAATGGAAATTTACAATAAGCTTTGCATGTCATTGGGATATTTTTGTGGCATTTTTTTACCAGTGAAAGTCCATTTTGTGTCCAATAATAGAAGTTAAATTCAAAGAACCAACTGACATGATAGCACCAAGAACAACGTTAGCCTATACCGCCAAAACTAAAGGCTGTTGAAAACTTGGAATTTTTTTTTTCGTTATTTTTTACTTTTTTTCCTTTTGTTTATATTACAAAATTTAGGGAACACATCAATTTTTTTAATTTTTACTACTGTTTTTTATTTTTTTTTGATATTTTATATTTTTTAAACATGAAATTTTTTTTTTGGCTATTTTTTTTTTCACGTGGAGAAACACACGTAATTATAGAGAAAACCTAGGTACAGCAGTTGTCAATCATGATAAACAAAAAATGTACAGTGCATGAAAATTTAAAAAGCTGATGTTCACAAAACAAAAAATGGAAATTCGCAATAAGCATTGCTTGTCATTTTAACATGTATCACCATTATAATATAACTAGAATTCATCATTGATATCTCTTGTTAATTTACATAGATTAGGAGCAAAGTTACACTGAGCTCCAGTAGAGTCCTTAGCTACAGATTTTTAGGAAATAATCGCAGTATCTAAAATTCATATGAATGTTCTAAAATATACACAGGAATAATAGATATCAGTGGTTGACAATAATTGAAAAACATAAGAGCAAAAGTTGATAATGCATTTCACAACAAAAATTAATAAACATTTAACAATAGCTATTTAAAACGAGTTACGATTATGTTAATAACTTGAAAATTTTTTTTTACTTATTGATTTTTTTATTTTTTTTTATATTTTGAAAATTGAAGCAAATGTGAAGTTTCAAATAAAACTTATATACAGGATTCAAATACAGCAAGATTATGTACAGTAGTTGCCAATCAAGAAAAACTAAAAATCTCAAGTAAATAATGAAAGTTGACATGCCATCAAAATTGTAATTGCATAAAAACTTCTTAATCTGGTCGATATAAAAACAATACACATAATGTTCTGGAAAAGCTTAAAGTGAGTTTGTTGTGGCTCACTGAAAATTGTACATAAAAAGCTAAAGCATGCTGCACTCAGCCTAATTTTCAAATTTATCAGATGACAAGGACTTGTATGGAACAAATGAAAAGACATGCAAATCAGGATTTGGTGCAGAATTTCACAAAATGCTGTAAATTATTACGGTAAATATTGGGCGCTCCAGAATTATTCGTACCAATGTGGGGATCAAGTGAGGCGAAGTAAAGCAAAGGTAAAATGCTCTGGTACAGAAACTTCGGGTTGTATGGCTGTTGTAATGGCTGCCCAAAACACTCATTCAAAGATTATCGTTGTGAGCTTATGGGGTCAAATCTAGTGAGGACTTAGTGTAAGCGAGAGAATTTGCAGAAATCGTCACTGTGACAGAATGGCACATATCACCAAGAGTCAGTTTATACGTCTCCGCAATACAAGCCTATGAACCTACAATGATGAACTGATTTGCTACTCTCAACTTTTCACATGAAAATGGTTTATAAAATTTTTGCTTAAATTCTATTATTACTGAAAAATTTGACTATTTAGAGAACAGTCTTTGTGAGTTAATTTTTTCAATATTTAATCCCTTTACTACATGTGCATGTCCATAATATGTTCCAGGATAAGGGGTATGAACTGCAGGATCATTCGGCATTCAGTCCAAGGTTGTTGGAGTAATTAAAAGTCGAATATGACTCTTTAGTTTAACGTTACGCGACATGCCCATGCGTCATTTGTATTTTAGCATTGTCTCATGTGTTCAGTCAAGGAAACTTCTCATGTTTTTGAAGGAGTTTTCAGCAAAGATCATCAGAATCTAAAAAAAATTGTTCATTCAGATGAGGTTGGAAACTAAATAATTTGATTGCAAAAATGGTGCTCAGTTAAGAAATATCACAACAATTTTCTATGTGGTATTTGTATAAGGCATTAGAAAGGCAACTATCACAAATATCGTTTATCACAAATGAAATTGAGGAAAAACCTGGCTAATTTCCTGCAAACATATTACAGTTTTAGGGGTCATTGATCGTCCACAAATATATAACGTCGCCTTAGCACACTGGGCGTTTCACAAGTTCCTATTCATTCTAACTCCCCAGAACTCCCCCAAAGAGAACCTGGGAAGTACACTTCTCACAGTACAGTACACATATCCAAAATACGAATCCAGAAAATATGAATTATGCAGACAAAATGTGTCATTGTTTCATCGAAAATGACTTTAATAATTATTCCAGCTTATCAGAGACTTTTGGTTTAGTATGATTTGAGAAAATACCAATTTGGGGAGACTGAAAAAATGCTTATGGCGGTGGCATTTCACCTACCGTTATCACTTTCATGTTGTAGTGGTTCATTCAATTGTGGTTCTCTTGCTTGGTTTCCACCAACTGCACCAGGTTGTCTTTGTTCATTTTGCCCCTTAAAACAAATATTTCATATCAACTATATGACATAGACCACTTATTGACAGTGACTTATTGACAGTGTTATAAAGTGCAGAATAATATCAAGTAACTATAAGGTCAGAATATTTCATATGAAATAGTGGTCTTGATATCCCATAGTTCCTATGAGGGTTTGCTATCACCATAAAATATAACTGTCTATCAACATTAAAATCCATGTTGAACATTCTCAAAGTCACCAAGTATAAATTGACAAGAAGTTTGATTTCTGATCCCATATGTTAAGCCACATATTTTCTCCAAACAAGGCGCTATTCAGGGAGATGCCAAGAGAGGCTAAATTTAAATCGTCATTGAGTTTTTGTCAGGTTGACTCGCCCAACCTACTTATTACATGAAATACAATAAAAATACAATTAAAAGAAATACCAATTAAATCTCACCATTTGCTGATTGTTATGATTTCCCGGTAGATTCACATTTCCAATATTTGCTCCAGCAAAGTTGACAGGTGGAGGTCCTCCTCCCTCTACGAATATAAGAATAGAAAAATGTTTATTGTAAAAAATATTTATTATAATGATTGCTTTTGGCCTTAGTATAATCAAACCGAAGATGGTGAGTAGGTTCTCAAGATAATGCACAGCTAATATAAGAAACCTATGATTTTATGAATATTAAAAATTCGAAAAATAAACTTCAACTTTACATTCTCAAAGGGGTTACCTTCTACTTAGCTGGAACCAGTGCTTCTCAACCTTTTAATATCGCGGCCCACTTTCACAGAGAGTTTTACTTTGCGGGCCACCTTTCAGAGGCTAAAATAAGTTGAGGTGCTAAACACACAACACAAAAAGGACAGACGAAATTTTACTCAATGCAAAACCTGAGCCTAGGCAATGCCTGGAAAATCATTTTTAATTCTGTCGCGGGTCAAACAAAATCTGAACAACACGATAACAAATTTTTGAGAAACCACTAGGTTAAGGAGCAGAGTCATCACTTACCTGCGGGTGGTAATGGGAAATCAAAGTCTTGCATTTCATGCAAAACGTCATTTTTCAAAACTCTGCAAATGATGAGTCTTTCAGGATATTCTTGCAAATTAGGAAGAAGACGGTATTTTAATTTATGTCTCTGGGATGTTAGAAATGCGTCGTTACAATCGAATTGTCCGTGGCGCATATTGAATTGTAAACCTTCTCGTCCCCGATCAATCTGTAACTCGAGGCGAAGTTTGTCACCAGTTTCCAAAGGGATTGGATTGAACCAAATTGGAGCAAGACGTGCCCCTAGTTCTCTGAAATGGGATCTGATTCTTGTTTCAACAGTCTCACATTGGCCATAAAATGTGAAATAAAAGTCATTTTTGTTTGAAATATAGAGACAGTTATCCACAATGACCTGTTGTTTGCCAATTAGCCATTTTAACCACTTGATGGCGACAGTGAATAGACTAAACTTTCTACATCGAAATTCTATGCTGTTATCCTCTGTGATTCGATCAGGAATAATAATGTCCCAGTCAGTTTTACTTGAGAAATGTAATATGTCAATTTTGTCTTTTTCCAGACTGACGCACCATGACTTGATTTGCACGATCGCATCTTTGAAAAATTTGGAATCTGCACTGATATCGAAAAAAGGTGTGATACCAATGTATTCTTTGGGGCATATTGAATTGTCTATTCCAACCGACAGCCATACCTTTGTTCGTTTGTTGAAAGTTCCACTAGGAAACGTGACTTTGCATTCGTTCAGTCTCATGGAGCCACCAGCAACTTCAATGTTTACGACTAAAAAAATGGATTTGTTTTATAATGCGGCAAAAATTGAATTATGACAGGTTCCAAAGTTATTTTAAAAACCTTTCCAATGTCATTGGGATTTCTATGGGAAAGCAGACATCAAATCATATGGCACTTGTTCGATAACCAGTCCATGTCAGGTAAGGGAATAGCCAGTAATTTGTTTCAGATGCATCCATCCATTAGGGAAAGGAGGTCATTGGCTACAAAATGAGAAGATTGCTAATTACGGAAATAAAATGCCAGAAGTAGCTTGAGCAGGAAATGGGTACTTGGACATAAATCACGGCAGGCTTAGCTCTAATTTCACTGTCATTTGAACATTTGGCGCAAAAAAGGCAAAATATAGAAAGGGCTTGCTAGCACTGGAAATGCGACAAAATATTTGTTACCATAAGTTATTAGAGCAACAGGGTTAGAATTTTCAATTGTTTTTTCTCAGTTCAACCAGGTATGGAAAAATGTATCCACATTCAGGAATAAAAAAATGATTCGGTTTCATAAATTTAGATTGCTTGTATGACCAGAGCACGATATATTTTCATTAATTACATTTAAGGGAAGAGGATGGTGTTTAGGAGACATTATAGTAGTGGTTTCTGCATAAATTTTTCAGTACTCCCAAAGTATGTTGACCAAGATGGCAGACACTGTAACGTAGTATGTGTACCAGGTTAGTATTAGGCCATAATTCCAGGTACAAATACTGCAGGAGTCACTTCGTTAGTCCCCAAACTCAATATGTGTACCAGGTTAGGATTAGGCCATAATTCCAGGTACAAATACTGCAGGAGTCACTTGGTTAGTCTCAGAACTCAATATGTTCACCAGGTTAGAATTAGGCCATAATTCCAGGTACAAATACTGCAGGAGTCACTTGGCTAGTCCCAGAACTCAATATTTGTACCAGGTCAGGATTAGGCCATAATTCCAGGTACAAATACTGCAGAAGTCACTTGGCTAGTCCCAGAACTCAATATTTGTACCAGGTTAGGATTAGGCCATAATTCCAGGTACAAATACTGCAGGAGTCACTTGGCTAGTCCCCGAACTCAATATGTGTACCAGGTCAGCATTCGGCCATAATTCCAGGTACAAATACTGCAGTAGTCACTTGGCTAGTCCCAGAACTCAATATGTGTACCAGGTTAGGATTAGGCCATAATTCCAGGTACAAATACTATGGGAGTCACTTGGCTAGTCCCAGAACTCAATATGTGTAACAGGTTAGGATTAGGCCATAATTCCAGGTACAAATACTGTGGGAGTCACTTGGCTAGTCCCCGAACTCATAATAGAAATAAAAAAAGTAAAATTGTATATTGAAAATATGGCCTAACCCTGATCTGGTACACATACAACGTTCCGGTGTACCTTGGTTCACATACTTCGGGGGTGCCATTAGTACACATAACAGTTTGACATAGTGCAGTCGAACGCCAGTGAACAAATCTTGAACTACCACAAATGGTAGAATAAAAACAATGTGCCTTGGTCAACGGATGTAAATCGTTTTGATTTCGAAAAAATGTCATTTGGAACCACTGATTTTATGCCAATTAGTCTTCTTCTCATTACAAATATACAGCATTGATATGTATGGCAATTCATATTTAATTGATTTTTTGCTATTCCAAATACTTGCCCAAAACTTTTTTTGAGTCCTAAGTAAAGTTGCTATGGCTGTTATTCGAGTTCGAATGAGTGAGTTACTCGAGTCCCCCCAACATTGCTACCAAGGCCCACAGAAGACCGATCAATATGTTATTGAAACAACCTTGTCTAACCCAAATTGCACCAATAGGTGAATTTCACAATGAAAATGCTCGATATTTTTATAACAATGATGATGGGCCGCCACCATGCAGATACACTCACCGACTATTTATTAGAACAAAAAACAAGTTGAAATATAAGGTTGCTACTCCACCTAATGATTAATGGCCATAACTTACATTTGATAACATTCTTTGACTGTGTTTTGATGCCAGAGTTTCCCAATTCATCTTTGGCCCAGACTTGAAAACGATATTTTTTACCAAGTTTAGGTGACTTCATTCTATACTGAGGAACCTCTGTAGTGTGAGTCTCTCCAAGTTTAACATCATCGCAGAAGATTTCTATGTTGTATAGAACGTTTCTGTCAGGTACTTCATTCCAAGTCAAGAGAATGTCGGATCCACTTCTTTGAGACGAAACATTTTCAATTTGCGGCAAAGCTATAAATGAATATTTCGACTTAGCATATTTCAATAAAGAAAAACATTTTCAATAAAAGCTGTGAACTTATATAAGCTGTGAAATTATTTCTGGGCAATTCATACAAAATTCATAACAAATCGAATATAAAATAGTAGTGAGTAGCAATTCAGATATTTTTGAATCAATAGAGCAGGCTTATAATAAAACAACTGTGAATGACTTTTTCAAGCAAAAGCGAAATACAAAGATTCATGTGCAACTAATAGAAAATCTAAGACTCAGTTAGCGATATATGCTAAAAGCAGGATGAAATGTTTTCATTGTAATTGGAGCTGAAATGGTATTTTCAAACTCAAAGTCAGGAGTAGAAGTTGAAATGTTAAATTATCTGGGTAATACAGTAATTTTAGACTTTTATGAATTTTTCACTGAAACTCAAAAACATGAAGTGGCTCAAGCATTCCTAACAGTGTATCAAAAAGGCATGTCCACGGCAATTAATTATAATTAAAATTTGATTTCCTTGTAGTTTGGAGCTGGAGTTGATATCTTCTCCAACCTGGAGTGGGTTATATTTGTCCAGTTTGGCAGTTGATTTGTGTGAAAATTTGTTTGAGGACACATTCAATTATTTCAGGGGTGTGCAACAGGTGGCTTGTGGGCCATAAACGTTCCGCCAAGCTATTCACCCACTAAACTGTTACATAAATTGGATTATATATTGTGGGAATTTTACAATTCTTTATGTTTATGGAAAAGCTAAATTTTTTGTCTGGCCTAGCTAGATGTCTGAAGTTGGTTATATGGCCCACCGGCAAAAAATGTTGCACACCCCCTGTATTATTCAACATCTCAATGGTTCAGCACTTCCTCATAATTACAAGCATTTAACTCAGCCCAACGCCATCTGATTCTATTAATACGGCTGACTTACTATGTTGAGTTGGCTTTGCAAGTTCTTCCGTTACTTCTTTATCTGGTTGTTCTGCTTCTTCTTCAGACAGTGGGAGTTCACTTCTGAAGATAAAATGGAGAATGCAAATGTATTAATTTTGATTCATTGGTTAAAATAACAGCCCCTATTACTCGATTTCAAAACCCTTCTCCCCTCACCCACAGCGTTAAAGATTGTGCACCATGTAAGCTGGTGGGCATGGGCTTTAAACCAAAGATTTCTAACCTGTGATAGATAATAAGTTCAACACTTTAACCACTAGGCCAGAAGTTCCCATGACGTGAAAATTAACAGAATTGTGTTAAACATAGCTGATATATGATTGAATTTTTTACATATTGTATTTATTATAAATGTTTTATTATTTCTCATTTTAAATGATGTGTATATGAATATATATGCTTATCAACAAGCAAACCTGAGCAATTTGTCAATTTGACATCAGATTTTAATGACTCATATGAATTTTATTTGAAATGGCTACAAGTGCAACCTCCTATCTCTGCGAAGCTGGGTTTTCAGCAGTGGTGTCAATCAAACAAAATACCGGTTACGTTTGGGCATAGAGAGAGAAATGCATGTGCATAACAAGTACAACATCGCACTCTGAAAAGATGTGTTCAGAGCAACTGCCACACACCTCTCATTAGATAAATAAGTGTGAATGTTTTTTAATGGCATTCCCTTTTCTTGAGGCACACATATTGACAAACTTTGAAAAGCATAAAATGCACATTAACGATCACAAAATTCAGTTTTATCCAAAGGCAGCAAGTTTCATGTACGTGTACCGCGATTTTTTCTCTGATAATTTAGCGCCGTACGAACATAAAGTTTGGGAACCGCTGCACTAGGCAATCACTATCTTTGATAATTGAAATATAGGTGAGCATTATATATCATACAAAGTACTGTTATATCTAACCTGGGGCTTCCTACTTCTTGTAAAGTCGCTACATTTTCTCCAGTATTTTCAAAACTGTCTGCATATGGTGATCCTGAGAAAGGATAATAAATGATTATCAAAAAATGATGATACTATTTTAGACTCTGTTTTGAGCTATTTAACATCGTTTATCAGAAAATATGATAGAATTTCCTATTTTACCCGGAAAAAAAAGGTAAATCAATAATACGGCTTATACAGTGAACCATGGCCTCTCATCCGGTTACCGGTCCATGTCAGGTATGGGATTAATTAGCTAGTTATTTGTTTCAGATGCATGGACTTGATGATGGAGGAAGCTCAATAAACCAGTGGGATAGGGTTAGGAACCACTATTTGACGACATGAAATTCAGCAAACCTCTCGCATTTAACTATCCCCAAGATCCAAAACTGTGAAACAAGCAAAATAATCAGATTGGAATGCCAAGCGTCCATCCATAACAATGCTCTGCAACCAAATGTAACAACTTGGAGACAATTTATATTTTTCCATGAAATTAATTTTGAATATCCCAGATTTATATTCAATCATATCAGACTGAAAATTTGTTCAATATTTCCATATTTATATTAAACAATTAAAATATAAAATCTGTTTGAAGAATCACAATAGGCTATATAACATGTTGCAAGATGCTGTTGAAGGATATGCCAGTTTCAGCAGCAATGAAAATATATTCATTTAACATTAAATCCCCAAAAAAATTCTCAATTCAATTTAAAAAACATATTTACAACTTACTAAATTCAGCTTTTGAAGTTGTGGTTGGAAGTTGTTTAGAAAAAACATTGGTTGTAGCATCTGCTGACTTCCTTTGACTTTTGAGAATGGATTCATCCAACTGAATTCTTAGTACCTGTAATGAATAAAGTTTTTATCAGAATTAGCGCTAAGGACGCAGAACAATATTTAAACAGACAATGGTATCTAATGATTCCAGTGCTAAAATTTGATGCATTTTCCCATAAAACCATACTATATAAAAGTGCTGCTTATTTTATCAAGAATTCTTCCATTTATTGAAAAACTTTCAAAATTTGCATACTTCATCTTATCTTTGATAACCCACTAAACTGACAGTCTAGTGACTTGGTAGTTCATTAAAATAAGAATTATTGTGAAAAATTAGTAAATTCATTTCAAATTTAGACTTTTGCTTGACGAAACAGAAACACAAATGAATCTTGATACAAAACCTTGATATTGTAAAATTTTTGTTATTGGTTTCATTTGATAAAAAAAATTAAGCATCTATGCAGTAGAGCAGGATGAATGATAAATTTGGTAACTAAAATAATGTACTATGAAATTGTTCTTTTTATCAAAGCACAAATAAACATATTTAAAATATAGCAAATATTGAATATCTGCAACACAATCGCACCGACTGCGATGACATTATATTTTAATTACTCCTTTAAAGAATTGAAATGACACCAATGGAAATAACCTACACTTCGGTTAAACTTTAAAGTGTTCAGTTCAGCATGAACAATTTAGACTTGCAGTTTATTTCAGTTTTTACGCAAATCGTTGTTTTATGTCTGTCCCATATTTTATATCTAGATTATCGCAGAAAGAATTTCAAACCTCAGATCCGATTTCATTCAATTGATTCTGCAATATTTCTTTATCTTCATCTGCTATTTTCCATTCTTGCAACCACAAATTCTTTGTAACATTAGGAAGCAGATTTGCAACTGCAACAATATCTTCATGGTTTGCAGTTCGATCTTCATTCAGATTCAACCGATCAATCTGTTAAAATAAAAACAAATACAAAGAACAATCAGATATGAATAAAATATATAACAGTCATATTCATCATAGTTTTGCCAAACCCATATTATTCATATTACACAGAAATGCATTGTAACATTAAATACAGCCTGGTGCTAGAAGTTGGGAGTTTTCATCAAGGGAGAAACAATAGTTATCAAAATTCAATGTTTTCGTTGTGTAGCATTTTTTTGTAGTGAAACCAATTGTATTTCACAAATCGCTAACTTTTGTAATCATCAAACAAAATTGTAAAATAATTGTTAACTCAGAGCAACACAGTCAAAATTGTAATTTCATAATCAGACAAGCTCTTGTGACATTAAAAAACTAGCTGGGTTTCAGAAGTCAAAGGTTGTTTTGGAAGGTAATTTCTTAATTCTATACAAAAGACTAAAAGATGAAGTTTGTCACAAGGTTTGTTGTGGAAAGCTATGCTTAATTTATGCTTAACTAACTTTTTATGCCTAACTGGCCTGTCTCATTAGAATTTGCTAAAATACAAAATACAACTGCTCACCAGGGTACCGGCAGCTGATTAGATTAGGTACGAGTTTGAGTTTTTAAGGATGCATAAGGTAGGATATGCAAAGCGCAGGCGTGTATAAAATGTTAACCAATTTATTTACCCATTTGATAAGAAGAGATTATGAAACATGAACCTCTTACTGTCATTGTGCTTGAGTAAAAGATGAGTACCATAACTCATGTGTGTGAAATATTTAAGATTAATGATTCTAATCAATAAATTGAATATTCAACAAAATGCAGGTAATAATAAATACTATAATAAAATATACTATAATATGAAACAGATATTCAGGGGTTTCGAAACAAGCAGTTAAGGAAATGTTTAACAACAATTGTAGAGGTGTAACCATTCAAAATAAAGGTAATTGTAGTGCACAAAATATGACATTTATAAACACTAACTAACTGGTTTGAGATTAAGGTTTATTGTACATATATGGCCTGGAAATTATTGTTTTGAATGCAATACTGCATCCAATAATATATGGGTGATATCCTCAGAACACTTCTACCTATCGCATGAAATATGTCCATGCAATGGTACCAATTAGCGGAGAAATACACTATAAAACTAATTATAGAATGAGATTTAAAACGTCAAAAATCACAAAGAACGACTATTCCAGGTACTGAATACTCGATAGCTGTGAATCTGGTCAATTGTTTAGCTGAAAATGGCGAGAAAATGGAATACCAACACGACATTAACTGGGATATAACGCAGCAGCAGATTGGTGAGAGGAGAGCATTTGCTCTGAACGCTTCGTGGGTGGTGACTGAAATAAATGTGATATTCTGTGGCACAAGCTTATAGAAATTAACAATTCTATATCTGATCAGGTGAAAACTAAATGCGGACATGGAACAAATAAAGCTTCCAATGTTGCAAATAAATAGAATTTTGGATTTGTCATCATTCATTATTTATTGTTTAAAATCTGTTACTTTCTGTTCAAAATTTTGATCTATTTTTTCCATTTTTACTGTTGAACACTCAAACTAGAAAGCAATTTTTGGAGATGATAGGATAACATGGGAAATATAAATTTATATGCATGGGTGTGATGACCTAGTAGTAAGAGCTTTAGATTTGACTGTGTTTGCATTCCAGATTGCACAAGTTCAAATCACTGAACACAAGGTGTAATAAAATGGGAGGTCAATGTCGAACTGAAACGCTTACAGATTTTCAAAAAATAGTAACTCTTTTTAATATATATGAGTGGACAATTGTAGATGACCTAGTTTAGAGTGAAAGCACATTTCTCTCGAAAAATATATTTGACAGGTACTGAAGAAAAAAAAACTTTATTCATTTGCTTTTCATTCAAAATCAATCGTACTTGGAACTTAATCAGAAAAAAACTAATATACTTCAGGTACAATGTAGGACAATTTTAGGTATTTCACACAATCATAGGACAGGACTCAACAAAACCTGATTGGTCATAAGAATTGGTTATTATATATTTCAAACATATTTACGAATAAATAAACAATTAGGCCTGGGAACTATTATTAAAAAAGATAAATTTGAAATTATAGCGGTTTCCATAAATTTTATCATGCACTCCAATTTGGGCTATGAAAGTGTAAAACTTATCTTATTACGAAATCAAATTTAAACCTTTTTCGAAAAAGTTAATCATGCCATTATTATTGTGTTATACCTCTGTGCTGCCCAAGGATGATTTTAAAGCTTGTAGTTGATCTAATGACAGGTTACATTTGCGAAGTCTCAACTCTTCAACACAAGATTGATTGGAAAGTATTTGTCCGACTGATGATAAACCTCCAACTCCCATGTTTGTGTTTCTATTCAGCCACAACTGCTTGATCTATAAAGAGACAAGAATAATTTATAAACCATGAAATCTATAAATGGTTCTTTACTGAGTGAAAAATAAAAAATTATGAACATTCTTAAACTGAAAGTAGTTTTCGATGCAAAATATACTATTTATATTCCATAGAAAATACCGTTGAATTTAAAAACAAATTCTGAACTACAAAACTGGACATATCAGAATTAAAATCTGTAAGTTCGGAATAGTTGAATCCCATGTTGACAACTGCACTAGATGAATGATTGAGCAACTATGAAATCCTTAAAACTCATAGAACAGAACAAAAATATTGTTATATCGAAACAGTCACACTTGCAGGTATGAATTTCAAAAGTCAAAAAAATGTTTTGACCTGCCTTTGCTCACTATGAGATAAAAAATTCCTAAAAAGTTTAGCATTTGCGAAAATTTCTTGCAGTTTTTGCACGGAAGTGCACTTATTGTAAACAAAGAAAAATTGTAAGCTCATACTATAGCTTAAAATACAAAAAATTTGAAAATCAAGTTTTGTTTTTTCACTTTAATACAAATATCACCATTGGGTGAAATAGCGATCGGGTCGTTGCTGCAAGTCATGTCAATTGGACGAAAACTCAGCTAATTCTGTGAAGTTTCATTGGAAATATTTCTAAAAACTTTTTAGTTCCTGATCAAGCATATTCATTGTGTACAGCGGTTTTCTATTTGGAAATTTGGGTGGCTCCGTCTGGTAACCATCTAATTATTTTTACACATATAACAATTTCTATAATTGGTTCTTTACTGACTGAGAAATAAAAAAACAAGCCGGTAGGCACCCAGGATCTCCGCTGATAGTTGGGGCCCGCACCTAGCTACTTATTGCCATTCATAGAAACTTGAGGATCTTTAACTGTGGCGTGATTAACCCTTTCCATGCGATTTTTATTTTTTATTCAATAATCCTATTCGCTACGCTGATTTTATGCATTTGTACCCCCACAACTAATCGATCGACTAACGAAAAACTAATGATCCTCTGCTGCCCACTGATGGCTCGTTGGAAAGCTTATTTAAAGAGCTTGCAATTGGCGATTTGTGCAGTTGTTTACATGGGATTCAACTATTCCAAATTTACAGATTTTAATTCTGATATGTCTAGTTTTGTAGTTCAGATTTTGTTTTTAAATTCAACGGTATTTTCTATGAAATATTATTGGTATATTTTGCATCAAAAACTACTTTCAGTTTGAGAAGTTCATAATTTTTTATTTCTCACTCAGTACCATTTATAGATTTTATGGTTTATAAATTATTCTTGTCTCTTTATAGATCATGAAGTTTATAGATCATGAATCTCAATCTATATTTATTTTTATAGTGTATTTCTCCGCTAATTGGTACCATTGCATGGACATATTTCATGCGATATGTAGAGGTATAGATTGCAGTATGGCATTCAAAACAATAATTTCCAGGCCATAGGTGTACAATAATCCTAAGACCTTAATCTCAAACCAGTTAGTTAGTCCTTTTATGCTAAGTTGTTAATAAATGTTATATTTTGTGCATTACAACTACCTTTAAATTGTTACACCCCTACACTATTCCCAATTGTTGTTAAACATTTCATTGACTGCTTGTTGCGGAACCCCTGAATAACTGTTTCATATTATAGTCTTTATAGTTACCGCATTTCGTTGAATATTCAATTCACTGATTAGAATCATTAATCTTAATAATTTCACAAAGAGTTATGGTGCTCATCTTTTACTCAAGCACAATGATAGTACGAGGTGCATGTTTCATATTCTCTTCTTATCAAATGGGTAAATTAATTAATGTCATGATTAATGTCATGGCCTTACAACATAATTCATGCCAGGTGTTTTTTGCATCCCGCCTGAACAGTATTACAAAAAATGCTGCCTATATGTCAGAACATTTAGTACTGGTAATTACCCTCCTGTACCTCACATTTGGTAATCAATCAATCTGCAGTTATTTATTTGTAAATTATTTTGCAAACTGACGAATTCAAACCTATTTTAACAGAATGGGGGGGGGGGGGGGGGAACCACAATGCTTGCTTGATATGTCGGCAAGTTTTGTCGGTGACAAAAGAATATAATTCAAAACAGCATTTTAGAATCTTATGAGCAATGAGCATTTTCCAAAGTTAAGATTTTGCTTTAAGAATCCTATAGCTGTTCAAAAGCACTTACATTTGCGAAAACACTTTTACCGTTATGAAGATTTTAAAATCTTACACTAATCGTAGATATAGGAAGCCTTTTGCTGGTTTTAGTAAGTTTTTTGGTGGTTTTTGCATGTTTTAGCTTGATAAATGACAAATACTGATCAACGTGGCTAATCAATTTTGTGGCCCCTGGAGCCGACAACCTTGGACCACCCTGTTCTAGACCTTACCATTGAATTTGAAAAAAAAAAATCAAACTACAAAAGTAGACATATCAGAATCGATATATATTGGGTGATCCACTCAAACACTGAGGATTCTGACCCATGTTGTCAAATAGATCGAAAGCTTGAGCTTTATGAAACCCTTAATACTCACGAAGCAGAAAACTAACATTAAAATATTACTATGATATTAACACGGCCTATTTCAAATTATTATTACAAGGAGCTAATGGAATGCTGCTTCAATAGAGTAAAGTGCCTCCTGTTTGAGTGAGTTTAGATTTGTATCTGGCTCTTATTCTGTTAATAACCGAAAATATTGAACTTGGAAAATGTATTTTCTCTCGTCATGTTCGATGTTGATGTCTTCATTTCCCACCATTCTTTTGTAAATTTGTAATACAATTTTGCCTCTAGTGGCAACATATCAAATCGAAAGGCCTGCTGCCGTTTGTATAAAATAGGCAGAGCAGCCTAGGACAGGTATCTGACAGATAGCAGTTACATCATCAAGAAAACATGCTAAAAAATATCTGAGACTTCTACATTGTGAGACGAAGCCAATCTTTATCGCTTAAATTAGGGTTTAGAAATAGGATTTACATATTTATCCCGGAGGAGAGGAAAGCCAATAAGATTGCTTAATCATCATATGGTGAACCACGGCCTCTCGTTCGGTTACCATTTAGTTAGTCGGTTTTAAAACGGATTTTATTCGTTATTTGTGACAAGTAATATTTTTATGTTCCATACACATTTAATCGATGCTACACATGAGCTTGTCTTTGTATATATAAACGATAATAATGTCTGATATCAGCGAGTCGCAAATGACTTTCAAAATTAATTTTCACGATTTCTATCGCTTTATTTCTAAACGATGGCACATAGAACAATTTTTAGGATATGGGTTAATATTTGCGACTTATAATTAATTTAATTTAGGAACCACTTTTATAATCAAATGCGGGCATATGAGAAATTGTTTATATACATAAAATAAAATACGAAATTAATTAATATTTTGCGTCACATCAAAACACTGGGATATACATGCATATATCATTTGTTTATTGTCTATAATCATATCATATATCGTGACTGACAATTTCTGTTAATTTTGTTCTCGCTATATCTCAAGTAAATTCATGTTTGTGCCATATTTCATATTAGAATTATATAGTAGCGTTATGTAGGGCATCGAAAATGCAAGATTAGAGAGATTGATGTTACCTCCGTCTCTCTACAGCAATTTTTTTTGCGCAAACGACAATTTTGTGGAAAAATTCATTTCACAAAAACCATGCGTGGAACAGTTAGCTGAATTATCAAACATTCAGCGAGTAAAAGACATATGGATATTTTATGCAAAAGACCAAAACAAAATAGCTTGGCAAGTTAGGTGGCCCATACCTCTCCACCTTCCCATAGCATTTATAATCCACAGAAAAAAAAAGTTGTGATATCATTGTTAACTGGGAGCTACTGGGTCAAAATTAAAATTTAAAAACAGACAAGGTCTTGGGACAACTAGCCAGGTTCCAGAAATCAAAGGTTACTTTGAATGGTAATTATAGATTTTGTACAAAGGACTAAAAAAAGAGTTTGTCACAAGGTTTGTTATGAAAAGGCAAGCTTAATTTATGTAACATAGACCTCATCTGATTCATTGGGATTTACTAAATTACAAGTTTACGGCAGCAGAATTATTGTATATTATGTCAAAAGATTTATAGCATGAATAATGCTTTGGTGACTGAAATAAATGTAATGAGCTGTGACTTAAGTTTATACAAGTGGACATCCCATATTTGATCAAGTTAAAATTAAATTTGGTCATGTAACACTTATCATTAATTGTTTGAGAATTATTATTTTTGGTTGAAAGTTTGATTTACTTTTTATTTTTTATTATGGAACATTCAAACCAAACAGCAATTTTTGGAGATGATACGATAACATGAGAACTATGAATTCACATGCATAGGTTGATGACTAATGAGTAGGAGCAATGAACTTGACTGCGCTTGCACAAGTTCAAACCACTGAACACAAGGTGCAATGAAATGGGAGCCCAATGCCGAACTGCAATGATTTCAGTTTTTCAGAAAATAGTAACTCCTTCAGTGGACACTTGTACAGGGCCTGGTTTAGAGTGAAAGACATGGATGAGAGTCATATAGAATATTTTTTCCAAAAACTAAATTTGGTAAGTACTCAATAGAATGAATGCTGCTTCTCATACTGTCCATTTATTCTGAAATTTTTATAAAAATCAATTGAACTTGGAAGTTTATCAGAAAAAAAATCTTCCTTTAGGTGCAATATGGGGCCATTTTAGGTATTTCACACAGTCACAGGACAAGACTCAACAGAACTAAATTGCTACTATTCAAAGAGGTAAATTCAAAATTATAGAGGTTTTACATAAATTTCACCAGTTAATCCAATTCTGGGTTATGGCAGTGTAAAACTATAACATATTCAAAAATCAAACTAAAAATTTCCTCCAACTCTTTCAAAAGCGATAATTATGTGAATATCATTGTTTTATACCTTTGTGTTGCCCAAAGATGATTTTAAAGCTTGTAGTTGATCTGATGACAGGT